TGCGGTCTACGCAAGGAAAACATGCGGTCTACGCAAGCAATGCATGCGGTCTACGCAAGCAATGACGTTGATTACAAACATGCGGTCTACGCAAGTAGCGTAATTAATTATAAACGTGCAGTCTACGCAAGCAAAACATGCGGTCTACGCAAGTAATGAAACTTATTATAAACATGCGGTTTACGCAGGTAACAAAATTGATTAGAAACATGCGGTCTACGCAAGTAACGTAATTTAATTATAAACATGCGGTCTACGCAAGCAAAACATGCGGTCTACGCAAGTAATGAAACTTATTATAAACATGTGGTCTACGCAAGGAAAACATGCGGTCTACGCAAACAAAACATGCGGTCTACGCAAGCAATGAAACTTATTATAAACATGCGGTCTACGCAAGGAAAACATGCAGTCTACGCAAGTAATGAAATTGATTACAAACATACGGTCTACACAAGCAATGAAACTTATTATAAATATGCAGTCTACACAAGGAAAACATGCTGTAACAAGCCCGCGGGGGACCTCGCTACAGCTCGGACTCGACTTTTGTTGTCACGGTTCTAAATCTGAACCAAAGAGTCCAAATCCGGCAAATCGTTTTAGGAAAACTGATTTTTGAAAGAAGTGCCAAACATGGACTGCTTTGCCAGATACAGAGTCGCCACCTAAATATTTTATTTTGGGAAATTTAGGAAACCCTGACTCGGTGCCAAAAGGCCACGTGTCCGTCATCACCAAAGTTGCCTCGGCTCGGGAACTAATGTATGTATAATTAAAGACTTAGTGTATTACTCATCAAATTGAATAGGAGTAAGAGAGAAGTGTACTGGACTTGTTGAACCTAGGTATATACACATAGAGTGAAAGGGAAAGACCTTGAGAAATAGAGCTCAAGAAGGAGAAAGAAGATAGAAGAAGAGGAAGTGAAAAGGCAACTTGAATTGTTCATAAATTTAACAACTTAAGGTGAGAATTTGCCTTTAATTTCATGAAATTGAGATGTCATGGTTATCATCCTTTATTCCAATTCAAATAATCCAACCTTCACCCACAGGCATTCAAGTAGTTATATCACATAAGCATATAGCCTCATGGTAAGCATACTATCATGGAAGTCACTCACACGCATGCAAGGATACTAAAGCATAAAACTTACCGAGTACTCCAAGCCAAAACTGAAGCTAACAAGGATGCTAAAGCATAAAAACTCACCGAGTACTCCAAGCCAAAACAGAAACCACATTAGAAATCATGCATGATCCTAAGTATACAGAAATGCCCAATGCAGCGCATGCAAAATGCAACTATAGCAGGCTCGGCTATTCGAAACATGGCATATGAAATGCTACAACTAACATGTATTCAATTTGGAATTGAAAGTACGATGCAGTTAGTATGGTGCGCCGAGCCCGGTGCATACAAAACAGATAAATGAT